AAAAAAAAAGAAACTGTCCATGTGACTTGACTGAAAATGGTTGTATTCCTGTTTTATACTTATTCACATCATAAATTGTAAGAATTTCTCTTTTTTTTTAAACAGAGCTGTGGATGGAGCTAAACTTGGAGAGTTAGTAACAATTCTTACAAAAGGTGTTGGAAGTTTATGGATTGATTGTAAGTAAGAAAGATAGTTACTAGCTCAAATTAAATCACAATAAGAAATATGGAGATAAATTAAACTATTGTACAAGGTTAATAAAGTCAGTTAATAGAGGGTTAGCATTTTTGTTTGATTACTCGCTGAATGGTATCTACCACAGATGAATCCAAACACGTGCTTTATTTACGATCAGAAACAGCTGCAGAAAAATATCAAAGATCATAAATCTGTGCTATTTTTCATAAAATATGCTGTTCTGCCTACTGTTCTGTCTTAAGATGAAAAATGTTGCTCAAATATTGAAATAGATCCCAATCAACAAGTGGCTTCAAATAAATACATCATTTTAGAGCATTGCTTTTCTTGTTTTGTTTTTTTTTTATGTAAAGACTTTTAGTTAAAACTATAAGTTCATATTTTCTTGCAAAATGTTTTCTGGCAAATCTTTCCTTCAGTTCATGTTTTAGCTCAGAGGAACTTGGGTACAGATGTGTGCGCACATGCACACACATCTGGTGGGAACTGTCAACATTCGTAAACGTCGCGGGCACTTAAACAAATGATCTGCGCGGTTGAGCTCAGCATTTCTAAGAAGATTATCTCTGAGAGAAAGTCAAACGATGAGATTTATTGGGTGGCACTGCGTAGGTCTGAAACCCAAAGTAAATAGTGAACTAGGAAGACGTAAAAAGTGCAGTGATCTTGTTGACGAATGTCAAAGAAAGGTTGTAAATCACAAAGGTTTGACAAAACTCACTGTACATTCAGTCTTTGGTCATCTGTGGACGGTGGCTGTGCCTTTAATCTTCCTCCAACTCAGTGCCATGTCTTTTGTTAATAAATCACTGAATAATCTGTCCTATATAAGGAGGCAGCGCAGGAATACGAGCACCAGAGGAGAAGCTGCTCTGAACTGGAGGCTATCCTCACTTTGTGGGACAATGAGAGTTGTGTGTGTCGCTTTTGTTTTGGTGGTGTGTGTGTGCAGGGAAGCTCTGAGTGTGCAGGTCAAGGTGAGTTTAAAAACGCCTTCTGTCTCCTGGATTTATCATACGGATTATTTTCATTGATTTGTTCGACGTCATGGAAGGGGCATTCACCGTGTCTGCAACTGCAACATTTGGGTTGTGCAAGACTTTTAATGTGTCTGAACATTTCCCTGCAGGTTGGAGACAGGAGCTTCCCTTTGGAAGCTGTGAAGCAGCTGAAGGAGCTAATGGAGTCAGAGGACAACATGAGTCCTCACCTTGCAGAGACCACGGCGGTCTGTGCACACCCTCTCCTGCCCCAGGTGTTCCGTCCGGTGTGCCAAGGGAAAGGGGCCGGGATTATCTTCCCCAGACTGGGTAAGGTTGAGACAAATGGAAATAAACATAAAAAACATTAAAGTTTTTTTTTTTCCTCAAGAAAAATCTTGATGTATTATAATATATTTATGACTAAGTTCCATCAAATATACTTTTGATGCAAACGAGACTCCTTTTCAACCTGCAGATATTTCATGTAAGATGCTATTTAGGCTGCAGCGGCAATAACAGCCTGTTTATGTCTTTAAAATTGTTTTATTTTTCCTTTGACAAACAGCGATTAAACCGTAGGAATTATTTTATTCTCATTTGTATCATTTATCCCACAAAAAAGACAAACACACAGTGTTTGTCTTTGCATTCTTAACATTCTTCTGTTATAATTTCACTATAATTTCAATTCTTTTCTTTGAAAACAACATGGACATGTTTGCGAATAAAAGCATGAATTATTTCTAAGAGAGTTGCAGCGTAACAGCGTCAAGCTGCTTTGTGTTGTGGTTTTTGTGCACAAACATGTAAATGAAACAAATGTGGGCGACTGTTAGCTGCAATCTGAGAAATGTGCACTGCTTAAATGTTGAAGGATAGTATGTGTTGGATTTGAAATGATCTGAGTGATGAACACTCTGCTCTGTGCAACTACACGTCTAATTTCAGGCTGTTCGTTAAATTCTTTGACGGGTAAAATCATCAAGATTACCTGTGGCTTCAAAGAGAATAGATCACGTCTGCAACAAGGTGTCACAAATGGAGCAAAACTTTGACATTTGACTTGGATGTAACAAAACATGCACAGTAGACAGCTTTAATTTTTAATAATCTAAGTGAATTCACTTTGTGTCAGCTCTGCAAACATCAGGAAGTTAAATAATCTAATCGTTCAGTTCATAAGATTAAAAAAAAAAGACAACTGCACTTCTCAAACGTCAAACATTTTCCCCATCACCTGACCTGCTTGACCACCTGAGCTCTAACTGCACCAAGGTCTATATTTGGCTTTTGTGACATTAATGCATGAAACAGCCTTCAAGTTGCTTCTTAACCTTTCGTTTTAACGCTCGAGCATGCAATCTTTCTGAGACTTGCTCAAGTGGATTCCTAGATTTCACTGTTTGCACATCACTGCATCTTCCGCATCATAAAGGGGCGCTGGAATGATCATTTCACAGCTTATAAAAAGCTGAGCAAATAGCCTTTGGGGACCACTAAACCACTTTAGACTCAGAAAACACACGTGTTGCTCTCTTGAAAAAGAAATTGATCCCATCCTCACGTATTTCATGGAACTGAAAGGATTGTTCGTAAGTAGTAGAAAAGTATATAAAAAATCTAATGGATACTTGTTCTTCCCTTTTGCTTTTTCCCTCTGCAGTGTACATCCTTTTGTCATCAGATGCTTGTGAAATATGTGCCAACCCCTCCTGCTATGGGTGTCTGAACTGAAGCTGCCACACAATCACATTGACTG